GAGTATTATAGTTATCGGTTAACTGCAACAGCGTAGGTCAGGACTACGTTGGAAAACTATATTAGTGTGAAACTTAACTCAAAACAAAAGAAGACAACGAAAAACTAAAATTTAGAAAATTATTAGTCTCGTTATTCAATAGTGACTTAGGTCTTAGGAGTATACGAAAAACGACATAACCGACGTATCGCTTATGAGGAAAACCAAATATTCTTTTCTATATTAAAATATAAACGATTGAAATGGTTCAGATATGTGTAGAGAGCGAACGGGGAAATTATATTATCAACGAACGTTACGACAGAACAAAATATAAAAAATAGACAATTACTCGATACAACGAGGAGCAATAACAAAATGGAAATATGTGATTGGGAAGGATATGCCACTCGTAAACAGGAATACAACAAATAATAATAAACTGGGCGTTGAATAGGGAAACTAGAGAGACTTATTAGTGGTAGCGGAGGTCCGGAATGGAACGTTAAGCTATTAAAAAATAAAAACAATTTGATTTAAATCCGCAAAATACGATTCCTTCATTTAATATTATTCATGAATTTTTGGTTTGAATAGAAAATTACTTATGAATTTTCCCGTATGCATAACCAGGGGAACCCAGAAATTATCAAGAAAACAAAATTCCAAAATTAATTTGTAGACGCTCCCCCCTCCCATATAGAAATTTAAATTGAAAATTCAGCATTTAAAATATTTTCGGAATACTATCTTTCCGGTGTCCACATCAACGTTCAAATCTATGCGTGTTGTTTTACGGCTGATTTCCAAATTGAACGTGTCTCCGTCATTTTATTGTTGGCAAACTATAGGCAAATGTTTCAAAAATACTGTACCACGGACAGATGTTAATGTTTTTGAAGGTTATATATTATTTACTAATCAAAACCTAGGTGTTTTCTGCGAACGAATCTCGGTAAAACAAAGTTGCACGCGTAATATTAAATATCAGTAATCACGTTTTTTTTGCAGTACCTATTTAATTATTATGTTTATATTGCTTGTATTCGTATGGCAGTGTTCATGGTAACTGGGCAATATGTTTTTTAATAATAAATGATATATGCGACTATAACATTATTAAATTAAAACAGAACGAAGATTAATTCGTGCAACCCAAAATTTCGTGAAATAAAAATTATATACGTACGTTTTTATACGTTTTTTTTAACAAGTATTTAAACGAAAAACGTTTGTACGCCGAAAACAGCGCAGTGGACAGACATTTGGTGTAAAATGTTTGCATAGAACCTGGCTATACAACCTAAAAAGTATTGTCTATAACGCACTGTGGAGCAGTCTAATTGTGGGTAACGAAAAATTATTAAAAATACTTTAGACGATTATCTGACGCGTTAATTTTATGTTGTTAGAAAGATGGTTTTAGATTCTGAGTGGAGCGAGAATGTATTGATTTCACTGTGATGTGTGGGTGATTTTTTTTTTGCTTCTGTAAACGACTTTTCCGCCAGAAAACTTACTCCGGTCGAAAATTGCCGAGTGCCTTTTTCATTGCATTTTGGGTCTGTTTAGTGCATTAAAGCGGTCATTTAATGATTTTCGAAGGGATTTTCATTATGATTGGGAAAAATCAGAAAACAAATTGTAGGAAAAACTAAAAAATATTAACGGCGCGCGTTATAGATTCCGTTATTTTACATTTTTACGATTTATGTTTTCTACCAACAATCTTGCTTCAATCGAAAAACGACGTAAGACCCTTTCTATATCGTTTTAGATCTAGTTGGTAAATAAAATAGTCGTGTTTTTATTTTCATAATTGAGAAAAATAAGGAAAAGACGAAAAGACGTAAAATAAAAACTGACAAATATATTATTAACATTGACAATTTCGTTATTTTGAATCGTTTCCAATTACCTTTTCTACCATAATTATTATTAATCTAATATTCTAGAATAGTTCCTTTTCTATAATAAAATTTTAACTAATTTATTTTAATTAAAGGTCTTTTAATATCCCGAGTAATTTTCTTAATAATTAGGCGAAACCGGGAAAGTTTACGAAAATAACGGGTTCCTTATTTTCAATTTTGTTTTTTATTGCTATTTAGTTAAAAGTACTCGCAGGATTTTGTAAAATTTTGGCGATTTTTGAGCTATTTAAAAGAATTTTTTTTAAATTTGTATTTAGCAGGTTAGGTTAGGTATGCTATGTGGATAAAATTATTTGACAAAAGAGAAATTCTTGAATATATTTAACACGGGGTATATTACAAGTTGTACTTAATGGTCAAAGAAGTTGAGTGTAGTATAATAGTTTTTGTTTTATAAGCTCTCAAATCTTGACGAAAATGGTAAAATTAAAGCATTACAAAACATATAAGTACCGAATATCGCTCAGATACATATTTTCTTTGCAATGGTTTATCGTTGCTTATAGATATAAATTGAACAACTTTATGTATTCTACCTTTTTTTTCTCTCTCTTTGTCATTTACCTTCAGAATTTTATTGTATTCCTACACATAACGAATCCTCTCCCTTGCTCTCGTTTTCGATTTTTGACGACGGGCGCGATTTTACGATTGCGATTTTATGCACACGAACAATGAACACATATTATCGATTTATTGCTGCCGATACCACGCGGTGGCTGGGGTAAAACATATTTCCAATTACTTTTATACGTACACATGAGTACCCGCAGTGTGTATAGGTAATATTATTGTTGTATAGACGTTATTGGAAAATTTATTTTTTTATCTTATCGTCGTAAAGTTTGACCGAGGGGAGTACCTATACCCGACGGAAAAAAAAACACACTATATACGGCGCGAAAAATAACGACTGCCGACCTTATTTTTATCGTTGATAAATTCCACGTTTTAATAACTTTATTATACGCGCGGCCGGCGATGGACGAGCTGCGGGTCGCAATCACATTGTCTCGAGTCCGGTTATCACTGCGGGTGACCGTCTCTGTAAACACATACACACACACAAACACACACACACACACACACACACACACACACACACACACACACACACACAAATACACACTCCTTCCCTTCAAGTCCGCAGCTTATTATTTGAGAACAATTGCTGGACGTGGGCGTATATATAGGTAATATAATAATACGATGTCGCCGTGTCGAATGTCATATAGTTAATTTATTTTCGTATATAGGTAACCGACACGTTTTTTACCGTTCGAATACATTTCAGCGTTGACATAGTCGATTCCCGTCGACCCGTCGCGCGTCGTCGATTTCATACTCAAAAAGCGGAATACCCATCTGGTCAACGGGTTGACGGAAATTAGAAATTTCGAAAACAAAACGCGTTTAAACTAAAACTTCGTTTATTTATGGAATTTGTGAGAAAATAATTAGTGCTGAAGGAAGTGGTTTCACCACGTAGGCGGAAATCGTCTATAATTGTAGAAAGAGCCGATATTTTAAAGCACTTACTTACTGTATATCAAAGCAAAAATAGGTCCATGAAAAACCTAAGTGTGGTTTATTGTAGACATCCTATACCACGTACATATCTGATTATATTAAAAGAGCTAGATATATTATGTCATATATTAGCATTTTTGAACTATTAATTTAAAGATGTAAGAAAAATAAATAGATGAAAACTTGATTGATCACCAACACCAATTAATTTAATTTGAATAGCTGGATTTAAAATTGTATTTGATAATGCTATAAGAATTAACCTCGGTTGATTGATTAACTTAACGACCACTTAATCACTGATTAACTAATTAACCAGCACTGTACAACGACCCAAAATCTTTGGACATAGATTTAATCATAATCACCGTTTAAATGAAGACTGTACAATTGGCCCTTAGGGGTAAAGAAAAACAAAATTATCAATTATTTTTTAACAGTACTAACCTTGTTACATTAAAATATAATACGAGTACAAACAAAAAAATATGTCGAATTGTATATAATTGTATACAATATACATATTCAATAATACCTAAGGTAAGGTAAGATAATGGGGTCGGGTGTAGCCACTGGTGTAGGTGGGAAGTTGAGAAGGTAAGATACAGACGAGAATTTAATGTACATGTATAAGCAACGAAAAACTATTAGTTACGAAAAAACGATTCTAAGCGAAGTTCAGTTGATACTGATTCTTTGTCAACAATATAGATACGCCATGTTATAGTAAAATAATTAAATAAGCTCTATATATTTTCTTTAATAATATTTTTTTAAATGTTGTACCGATTTTCTCAGTTTTCCTACGTTTTCCCAGTTTTCCCGTGTTTTATCCTGGTTTTTCACATTTCTTTCTAAAAATCCTGAGTAAATCAAAATAATGACTTCTCTAAAGTATCTCTTCAGTGAAATTTCGTTTTAGAAACATTGCTATTATTAAAAGTTGGAGCAAAAATATTGGTTGAAAAGTTATGCACAGATAAAGAAAAAACAAAATTAAACATCTTTGTAAAACCATAAGCTTTCTTCGCTCCACTCAGAATCTAAAATGTAAATCATTTTTGTTAAAACTGTATACCTATATAATATGTATAATATATATACACAGATAGATTTTTTTTTTTTACTACACTCCAACATTATTTTAATTAAAAATTACTATATATATATATATATATACTTATATTACATTGCCTACATACACTTATTATTCTTGATAGGTAGTGACCACTGATCACTTTACACTTAGTATATTTGAGTGGGCTAATTTCTCTGTTTATATCTTTTAAGGGGGCTTGTCCCCCTCAAGCCTCTTCCAATGTCCACCTATGGGTTTCACACCCAAAAATAAAGGTGACAAAAAATAACGGTAATGCGAAATTTGAAATATGCTTGTTTTTTAAATTGTCAAAACATGTTTTTAACAATATACATTGCAATAACTTTGGTTTTGCAATTCGAAAAAAAATAATCTACGACATTTACATATTATATTCCAGATGAATTTGACAAAAACATTTTGATTACACAAACACATATTCTAATTGTATATGTATGATGATGAAATCGACGAAAAACACTGGTTCAAAGGGTGTGGAGTTAAAATCGCCGTGCGATAAGGGTAATTATAACAATCAATATAAATCCCGAAACGAGGAACTTCCAGTCAAGTCGAAAGCCAAAAAGTCAGGTAAATAAAAATAACTAAAATATTATTAATAATGAAATAATAATTCAAATTAACGATTTATTTTACCCCGAAGCTGGGGAAGGAGAAAAAGAAAATAGAATTTGCAGCTTAAAACCTTCAGTTGTTCAGAAAACGAAGAGCCAAAGTAAAATTAATAAAACCGCCCTTTTTAGAGATAACAGGAATAATACAATTCACAAGATATCGTCGAATTTAATATATACTCGCAGATTTTCGCGGTATACAGACGTCCAAAAGCGGTTAAAAACCAATAAATTCAAATCAACAAATGAGAACATTGGAAAATTCGACGAAAATTCCACCAATTATAAATTGTACGTGAACACAAACACAAACAAGAAAAACAAACCGTTGTTGAAATACTCAATATGTGTGGATTTAAACGAAAAACGAAAAACAAATAAACGCACCGGTTTATGTTCGGATCTTCCGGGAAAAGGGACTTATAATCATCGGTTTGCATATGACCAAGCGCTGAAATTACACGCACAGGGTGTTGATGTAGACGTATTGTATAAAGTGAAAAACAGCTTGGACTCGGTTTATGTTGTAAACGGTACATTTGCGAGGACAAACTATAAACGACCACGCACGATTAAATACAAAGATCAACCAAACACTTCTAGACTAACACAAAACCATACGACTTGCGGTCATAATCAACCGATTAATAAACAACCAATTAATAAGCAACCGATTAATAAGCAACCGATTAATAATCATCCGATTAATAAGCAACCGATTAATAATCAGCCGATTATTAAGCAAGAGAATAATATGGTTGAATTACAAAAACCTGATGAACCGAAAAAAAGAAAAAAAAAGAACAAAGATGAAGCAGCACTACGGTTAGAAGAGTATAATAAAAATTTGGAATTAGAAGAAGAAAATAGAAAGAGATTATTAGCGTTAGAGGAATTAAAGAAAGAGAAACTCGAAAGACAAAAACAACTAAAACGAGAAGAATTGATTAGGAAACAAAAGATCAGGGAAGCCGAAAGGGAGCAATTGAGCAAACTGTTAAATATTAAGTCGGACGAAAACAAAGCAAAAAAAAAATTAGACACTAAATTAAGTAAAGACAATAAACGACGAGCGAGAGAAGAACAAATGGAAAGAGATCGTTTAAAATATATAGATGAGGAAAATAGAAAATTAATGCGACAAAAAATGAAACAATGTCTAGCTTTGAAGTTCCAAAAAAATAATGTGAACATTACCATAAATAAACTCGATATGAATCCTGTCGAAGCATACGACAAATGCGAGGTACCTACCTAGCTTTTTGAACAGTAAATTTAAAAACTATTTGTTTCTAATATTATAATACATTTATTTTAATCTATGTGGTATGGTATATAAAAGAGTCCTGCTCGTAGTATTTTACGTATTAACAATTGCTAAACACAAATTATGAACATTTACAATTAAAGTATTAATAGTTATTAACAACAAATTCGATCACTTTTATTTTTGTCAATGACCTTTGTCATGTCTCAAAAACATGGTTTACAGGGTTAACTCTAATGCCTCGTAAAAACTTTTGATTATGACTTTTTTTTTTTTTTCATCGAGTAGAAAACAACCAATGTCAGTCTGACACGCCAAAAGCCTCTGGAACATTTTAAAGGGGCCCCGTAGATTAACTAATCAAAGGTAAAAATTAGTGTGTAATTGGGTCGGAAGTCGGTTTCATCGGCCAGTAATATTTCTAAAAATAACAATGGAATTCCTGGTGACTTATATTTTTATATATACAATATACATACACTAACTAACTTCTTTTAAAATATTTTTATTGATGACAAAAATGTGAAATTCAATATGTAACTAAGTTAATACTAGGGTTGCGTCAGGTCGACAATGGGTGTAAACATTTTTCAAACAGCATGAGCTAGGAGTTCTAGACAAGATTTTGGCGGATTGTGCCATCTAAAATGTATGCGGGGGTGACAGGTGAGAGAAGATTCTATGGTGTTTATATAACTTTAGTAGGAGAAAATCTAGAATAAGTTAACAATAGGCTTGATGAATGGAGAGTAGCCCTTGAAGGAAAAAAAAAAAGAATAAGTAGAAGTAAAACAAGTATATGAGTTTAGTGAAATTGGACAAGATAGCTAACAACAGTAAGTGGTAATAGGTGAAATTTGAGATTTAAGTTCCTAGAATCTTTTATACGAAATAATAGTGGCATTCATAAAGAAGTGAAACATAAGTTTAAATGTGATTGGATAAAGTGGAGAGCAACGTCAGGTGTTTTATGTGACAAGAAGATTACAATTAAAGGTAAGTCCTACAAGAATGTAGTAAGACCAACTATGTTGTATGGTTCGGAATGTTGAGTAGTAGACAGATGAATGTAACAGAGAATGATTGGGGCAGATATAAAAATGCTTAAGCGAATGTGTGGAATGACGAGAAAATATGGGATAAGGAATAAGTATCTACATAAGAAGTAGTTTAGGCGTGATTCCAATAGTAGAAAAAATAATAAAAAATAGACTGAGATGATTTGGGCATATCATGGGATGAGAGGAATCTGAATCAGTAAGAATAGTAATGAAAATAAACGTAGGAGGAAAGAGATGGTTGGATACGATTGAGAATGATATTAGGACAGCCGTGGATTAAAGGCGGGAGATCGGGTCAAGTGGAAGTTTAGAACGATGGTGGCTGACACAAAATAGTTGGAATGAATACAAATGAAAACAAGAAGAACTAAGTTTATAGCTATTAATTTAATTACATTTTTAAACGATTAGCTTTTAATTTAACATTAAAAATGAATCTTTCAATCAACTTAAGTTAATTTTGTCTGTATTAACTTAACTTAACGTATTAAACAAAATTGTCAACTTGCCCAGCCTTGTCAAAAACTACAGAATAATAAATTTTAAAAAAATAGTCATATTTAAACTCTTATTATTAGAGCGCGGATTTGTATACATTTGCATATTTATTCTGGTTGGTCGTATGATATGCTACACAAAATGTGTTTCATGACGTACCGGTTTAAAAAAATTAACTTTTTTAATGCATATTTTTACATTCACCATTTTGTTTTCTATTTTAGGGACTTAAATTAAACAATTTTAATTGCATATTTTTAAATCATTTTTTTCTAGTTAAAAACGTCATTCGTATTTTTATAAAATAATTAAATCGTGAAATTGTACGTTTTCCTACTTTTTTTTTTACCACTTATGCGATTTTATTTAAAAAAAATAGAGTCGAAAATCGAAAATGACCTTGCTAAAATACAATCTAGACAGCTTGAGCTGCTTTCAGAAAAGTTACCACACGTAAAAATCGGAACGAGTTTACTAGGAAAAAACGTGTCCACAGACTAGCAGGAGAAAAAAAAATAAATAAACAGCATTGTAAAACCAATAGCTCCCTGGATACGGCTCGAAATCTAAAATTAATGATAATAATTTTATCGAAATTAAGACTGCTCTACAGGGCAGGAGAGTTGACCTTGTATACGTGTTTTTGGGCATTTATTTTAATATTTGACTAAATTAAAATACCGACTAGACACCGATATCAATCTGATTACCTATTATTTGTTTTTTGATAAATTTTGACTGCGCAGTTCTTAACAGCGGACGTGATTTTATTATTTCTCTAGGCCATCACAGATTGCGACAAACTTAGGGCTGCGGAAAAATGGGCATTGCAGTGTAATGGCAATGAACATGATATTTCATGGTTGAAAACCGTGACTTGTCGGATCGATTCTTTGGGCGGGCGAGTGGACAAATCGTACAGAAATAAATGGATGCGAAACGCATTGGACCTGGCAGTCGACGATATGGCAGAGAAAAAACCGCTGTCGGGCGGTTGTACGAGTAATCTGCTACAATGTTGCCCTCGGAAGTCGCCGTGCGACAAAAACATCAAGGCGAGATTTTTATTTCAAATCGTGTCGCGCTAATGGGGGCGGGGAGGGAGGAGGAGGCCTGCCTGTGGTCATTCCGAACGATAGTCGAAATTCGACATCGACATATCTTGGGCGAACCGTTCAATTAAAGTGATCTTTTTCGCTTTCAGGTCTGCTCCAGCCTGGTGATAAAGACCAGGAGGACGGCGTGTTGTCAGCGGCCCCGCGATCACCGCGACAGGCCAACCGCGACGTGCAACATGCACAAGTCGCGCAAGTTTTCCGTTTGTCCCGCGACGGGCGCCGTGGCGATAACACGCCGCGGCACCGACAACAGCCGTGAACCGTGCGGAACGACCGCGACGACCGAGGGCCCCGTCCTCCGAGGGTCCGACGCGGACGCCCGTGGGCGCGCCCGGATCGTCAAATTTCGCGGGTAAGCGCGGGCCCGAACCGGAAACGACGGAAGTGACGACGGCGTGGACGCAACCGTAACACTGCACGCGCCCGATCCAATAGTCGGACCCGCCGACGATAAACGTCATTACGACCGATAATTATTATTATTATTACCCGCCATTAACCCGTGAAACCAATCGCGTTTTAAACGCCTGCGGATACGTGAGTTTACGTACCTGTGTTAACGCGACGTGCCCCGGCGTTTTCGGCGGTCGCTCGGCGATTGGAAGCGCCCGTTTCTCGGTTCGGCGCAGTCACGGCCGTTTCGGAAATCCGACGACAATCGTCACGGACTCGGGCCGGCTTCCGTCCAGTGTCGTATTCCCGGCGGCGGATTCCGAAACCGTCCGGCGCCGGTGGTGGCCCACGGCGCAGGTACCTACACAGCCGCGTCCCGGGTCTTCGCGTCGGCACGGACGGTCGCAAAGCCCTAAGAGCGCTTTGGACTCCGTTTAATGGTATCCGTCGCGCCGTTGTTCAGCGGCACTCTGGCCGAGACACTTTCGTTTTTGACACGGCATTTGTTCGGGCGATTCGACGGATGCGGTGCCGTGGGTTCGGGCGGTTCGGCGACTGCGGGTGCCGTAGGTGCGGACGATTCGACGACCGCGGTGCCGTAGTTCCGATAGGACCCGCCGCCCGTTTTCCGCGGCGCACGCGGTGCGCTCCCCGGCGCAGTAACGCGGCAAACGAATGTCGCGTCCGGCGTCGCACGCCAGACGCCGATTTTCGTGAACACGTCGGCAATACGATTCGGCAATTGAAAACTAAATTATAATTTTAAACCACGCGCTGGCACGACACGGACAAACAACGTATTTACGACTGTTGGAACGTGTTATCATGCAACACGATACCGGAATAAACGTTACGGTATGATTGCCCAATCGTTCGGTCAAGATACCCTGGTAACGAATGTTTCGATTCCCTTATCATAACGATGCGACATAATTAAACAAACAATTGTTTTGTCCGTAGCCGACCGCCGTTTGGCGGCACTCGGTAACTCTCCCGCATCATTTTCCTCCATTGACCGGGTTCACCGCAGCGATCCTCCCGTCGAAATTACGCACACTATTGAACATGTACCGCCGCCAATTAAACGTGTAATAAACCCGCCGGGCGTTTGATGTCAACACATAACCCGACTTGGAATTTTTATGTTTTGCATTCGATTTAAAAAATTGTATTTGTGTTTACCTACCCCCCCCCCCCCCCATTATGTTTTCTAAAACGTTTACCACAATTTTGAACTTAGTGGGTTTAATAATGTATTCTGCAAATCAATTTGAGGCTACAGCCGCAGTTACTTGTGATTGCAATAACCACTAAACACAATTTGCACCATATTTAATTCGTTTTAAACGTATATTCAAATTAAATAAATAAAAATTTACCTATAACTACCTATATATTATTGTCATTGTAATAATAATAACATTTAACTGGTGTAAAATAAATACGCGTAAACATTATTTTCACATTCTAAACGCGGTGAATTTTTCTATTTTGTGTTTTTTTTTTTTTTTTCTGTTTGTGAACATCGTTTCTACCTCGACTTTCTTAATCTCGCTCCGGGCCACAGACTTAACGAGTAGTAAATGGTTTGTTTTTCCTAGCAAAGCGACTACATAAAAATGATAAATGGTCGTCATTATTCAATATCATAGATAATCATTAGGGCAAAAGACTCTTGGCATTTGCATATTTGCCAAGCACATTTAGTAAAATTGCAAAGTACGAAACAAACGCGTTTCATGCTTTCACAAAGCTAGTTTGGAAAATTTATTTCGCATATAAATGCATATTATAGGGATTTTTTTTGTTTTAGAGCTAATTTCTTCCATTTTATACTTTTAGAAGCATATTTTAAATAATTTATCAATATTTTTCTGTTGACGTGTTAATTTCATATTATGTACAACCAAAACATTGTTGAATTTAAAATTATTTAAATTTTTATCGTATATATTATGGTTCTTTATAATCATATAATATGATTTTTCTTTGAAACACATCTCGAGTTTCACCGATTAATTTTAATTTTAAACAGTTAGCATTGACAATTTTTTTTTTTAGGATCAGAAGAATTTTCAAGAAATTAAAATTTGTTAACAATTTTGTAAAAAAAATAATGTATACAATTTTAAATAGATTACTTTAAAAAAAATATTAAAGCATATTTTTAATGCATATTATAGGGTTTTTAAGTGACAAAGGTACTTGCATATTTAGTGCTTTTTTAAAGTTACAAGTCCTCTGCCCTAACAATAATCATCATTCATCATTGTCCTGTATTAAAGTTAACAATATTTCATGCATTTATACAGAACAATAAAAGTATTTATCATATATACTATTAAATATTTTATTTGGTAAAAATAACAACTAAAATAAAAAAAGAGGTAAGAAATGAAATTTGTCGATCACTTGGATCCCAAATCAATTGTGTTGACTTTACAGACATATTTAATAGTAATGTGGAAGATTAAAATTCAACTGTTGCTCAAGAATGCTAAAATATTGATGAACTCGTAAAAAAATAATTAACAATAATCTAGTTTCATCAAATAACAAAAATTTGTTCACGTTTTAAAATTACACAATTGAATTAATTATAAAAATATATTTTGATGAAATTTAAAAGTAATCACTTTGCTTTTTTTATTATGAGTCATACTTAATACAGTTATTTCCTTCAATGTTTTATAAACTATTTTCTGTAAATGTTATCATATTAAATTATATTTCATTAGTCATAATTTACCAATGTAAAATATTTGTAATACAAATTAATAACAATTCTAATATTTAATTGGAAGACAAATGAATTTGGCAAACATTTTTAAAATAACTAATAAATCACGTATGCGAATAAAAGTGTTGAAGTGTAGGATCTTCCATTTCAACAAGTAGTAAAACGTCTTTGAATTTTTCCAATAATAGATATAATTCCATTCGTCTAATATTCTCCAAATACATAATCTCCTCGATATGATGTTCTCCAGAGAGATAACCTTGTTTCAATAATCTCATTAAAAGCCTAAAGTCATCTGGATTAGCTGACGCGGGTATATTCATTAATGCATACTGTTCATTAAGGTCCAAACTAAGGTACATTTCTTCAGCACAAGACATAGAAGAACTGTAATCACCTGAATATTTCCACCAATTTTCTGATAGTGTCAATGCAGCCATCGGTTCTTCAGATTGATGATCGTTATTTTCTTCTTCGGATTGAGATGAATTATTACATTCCTATAGAAACGTATAATTATTTATTATACAAGTATTTTAAGAGCAATGCTAATATTAATACCAAATGTTTAATAAACGGAAGTCCTTTAGAAGATGGCATAAAATAAATATAAGTATGGTATTGTTGCAAAATTTTGTGCTGTAACAACCAAATTAATATTCGAACTGTTATAGCTTCACTGCTCTTGTCATCGTATAAGCCCATTTTGTATTCTAACGCTGTTGGAAACGAATATTCACTCATCACCTAATTTTAAATATGATAATATGTCAGTATTAATAAAATCAATTGATCGCAGCATGTAATATTATATACAATTTGAAGACTTTTTAAATAATACTAATTACTTTCAACAAGTTGTACCCTGGGAATTTTTCTGCAAACTCTCGAGCTAATTTATTGTTGCGCGTTGTCGGGACATTAGGTGCAATTGCATACAAGTTGGTTTCACATAATGGAAATATTATAATTGCATTACCCCAATAAATCAAATGTCCAGCTATACTAAATACCTATAAATATACAAATTACAATTGAGTTTATTAATTTTTGTTTGTTATTCCTGACCTGTGCGAGGGTAAGATCTGCATCCGCAGATAAAGTTTGTAAACTTTTGACAGGACTGTACATATTGATGAGACGAATCATTGATGGCGAAGTATCTTGTGGTAACTTGTCCAAAAGTTCTCTGCGGTCACACATCAAAAGTATACCATGATATGGTCGAATTTGCTTTAAACACCTTGAAGCATAAAATATACTAATAACAGTTCACTTAATAATGTGAAATGTATGATACATACGTGTTTATACTCGCAGGATCGAACAGCTGTCGATCTTTATAAAAATTATGAACCTTGTGTGGCAAACAGAAGCTCACCTCTATCCAATTATTCACTTTTAAATTGACCACACCGGTGGTTGTCACTTCATCAAAGACTTTTTTTATATCCTTTGCCAAAGTACAAGTCTTGCAAATTTTTTCGAAATGAGGATCATGGTCGTAAGAAGCATCTAAATCGATACTACAATCTGACCTGTAAATAAAACCAATTTTAATTTATAAATATAAATTTATTAAGTATTACTTCTTACATAAATAATCTGTAAAATAAAGTGTTTAAAATATAAACCTTAAACCTATAAAATTTACAAAAATTAATTTTTTATTATTGAATACTTAATTACGTTTTAATAACAATTTTAACATCTCCAGTAGTTAGGTAGGTACTCATGGTTGCCACGAAATTCCATTTTGAATTTCCCTGACATGTTTTTTCCAGGATATTTTTTTTCAATTTACCTGGGCAAACAAATTGTATGTATTAGTTAATTATATTATTTATTTGTTTAGATTCAGAGCGTAGCAAGGAGTGTATTGGTGTACTATGATATATTTTTACTGTTTTATATTTTTTAGGTCTCTAAACAACTTTTCAACCAAAAATCTTGCTTCAATCAAAAAATAACAAGATATTTTTGATCTATCTGGTTAATAAGCATGTTTGTTTTAATTTTCATACCAGTTTTATTTTTAAACATAAATTTTAATGGAATTCTTAAAAAATTATAGTATTTCAAAACAATGGTTTATCATTTTTTAAAGATGTAAATTAAATAACATTATTACTATCTTAACGTTCCCCTTTTTCTACCTACAAAAATGGCGCATTCATCGACAGTAAAAGTCATTTTTCAAGTCAATACTGATTTTAATAGCAAAATAAATAAACACAACAATGTACGAATGCGCTTTAAGAGAAGTTATAGTATTTATAGTATTAAATACGTAACAAAACAATATACATAATAATAATTATGAAAACAAAGATTGAAGTTTGAAATTGAAATTATGAATTTCATAAAAATTCCCAGATAATTTTTCAGGTTTCTAGAAGCCGTGGCAATCATGGTACTGTTATAGCATATTAGCAAAATCATCAAATAATAAACCCAATATTACCCAGTAGTCATAGTATCGTGTATGTAGACCATTTCTTTTATTTGATTCGACAGGTAACCGCATCGATTTTCTTCATGTCTAAGAGCGACCCCTATCGCTTTACTCAAATTATGGTAACAATCAGCAATCTGACGACGAGCAAACGCGTCCAGAGCAAACACTACGTTAAGTAATATGTTTGACGGGCTTTCCGGTTTACTACTATCACCGCCACACGTCTGGATCTCCAATGGATGACTGATGAATCGTACATGGTCCACTTTCAGTTCAAACTTTTGGTCACAGAGCTGAGACTTGACAGCGAACAAGTTCGATAAAACTTCGTCCGTGTAATCAGCTAGCTGGTGCTTTGGTTCGGCGTTTTCTGGTAGTTGGGGGGAATCTGGAATTTTGGGTATGAAACCATTCGACAACATCTGCTGGTGCCGTCGTTTGGCCTCGTCTTCTGGGTCTTCGAAAGACGTTACTTTGTCTAGGTCACAAGACACCTTTTGTGGTCCACCGAAATAGGTGTACGGGTAACGGAACAACAGTTTGTCACCCTTGCTGTCGTTTTTTACAAGATAAATGCACATGGGGTTGGTTTCCGCGTCAGACGATTCCCATGACGTACCATCATCATCATCATCATCATCATCATTATCATCGTCTTCTTCCTCGTCCTTGTCGTCCTTGTCGTCCTCGTCCTTGTCGCCCTCCTCTTCGTTGCCCTCCACTTCGTCATCCTCGTCTTTGACGTACTCGTCTTCAACGTCCTCGTCTTCTTCCTTGTCGTTGTCGTTGTCGTCATCGTCGTCGTCGTCGTCGTCGTCATCCTCGTCATCAAACTCGTCCTCATTCTCGACATTGTCATCATCGTCTTCGATCTCAAATTCCTCGTCAACTTCGTCGACATCTTCTAACTGAACACTCATGATGTACACGAATAGATTTCAATGGATTATAAATTCAAATAAAAAATATTAATAAAAGAAACAAAACGATTTTTTTGAATAGATAGGTAATTTTCGAATACAGTCACCCGGCTGATAAGCATTATCACTGAGTGAAAGATAATGTCAACAGATTGTTAATATTTCTATGGTAAAATCTTATTTAAATATTAGTATTTTCCCCGTACACAGTATAGTGCGATGGTGGTGTAATGGTCAGCATAGTTGCCTTCCAAGCAGTTGATCCGGGTTCGATTCCCGGCCATCGCAGTTAATTTTTGCATAATTTTTTTTTTATTATTTCAATATTTTTTCGATTTTTCTCAAAGGTGAAAGGGGGGGGGGGCATTAACTAGTTAAAAATTGAATTTTTTTATTTAAACTTATGCACTTAACCGGTGTTGGCCGACAGTCGAAATAACTCGGCTTTTCTCGGTCGATTTAAATGTAACCCATCGGGTCAAAAACATTTTGAAATCTTTCGCTCGTGCGGAAATATTGGCGGTTCCAATGCCGTGAAATCACACGACCGCGTCTGTAATTTTCCGAAACAGTTTTCCGTATTGGTAAATTTCATTACACATTACGGGTTTAGTTCACATTCGGCGGCTGCCGTCGCTACTCGCGCTGCGGTATTCACTCCTCGAGACACTTCTGGCGTGACGGCGTCGACGGCAGTGAGCGTCGTACACGCCGGCCTGGTAATTAAAGCAGCGCGAACAGCGATCGGCCGGATTGATCGCGTTGCCGGTTATGTTGCTGCTCGCGCCGTTCAGTTTACCGCCTCTTGACGGCATCGTCGGGCGGCGCCGGTGCGAGGAGCGCGGTCGGCGCGTGCGACGTGTTTCCGTGCCCGCGCCGCCCGTTTTCACGCTCGCACCTCGCCGCCCGCTGCCGCGGCAGCGGGCCCGGACGCAAACCATGGGCATTCGATTCGGAACGATGAGCCGTTGGATTTTATCGCACGCGACAACAACGTCATCATTGTTGCGCGCACACGATGCCGACCGTTGTCGATGAGAAACACGCGGTCGGCCACCGGATCCTCTCCGGAGTTGGGGCGCGACAAATTCCGAAAATATTAAAACGCGAGAGCCAAATTGCCGTACGAAATGTGAAAACGGGGCGGGCGCGTCGAAGCCGGCCGGTTTCCGCGTCCAAACGCACGGTCGGCCGTTTCGGTGTCGCGCCGCCGCCGCGCGGAGTTGCGTACGCGCGCGCGTCGCACGGGTACTGGCGGTTGTGTTTCGCCGTTTCGAACGTCCGTTGAGTTACCGATTGTCTTAGTCGTGATGCGCGCGGTTTCGAACGCAATGGTTTTACGATAATCACGCAGAGCGAGAGGGCACGCGCGACGCGCGCTACGGTCGATTGTCCGCGGGACTGTTGTTCGCGCGCGATCCGCACACCGGTTTCAAAACAAAACGATACGGAATTAGCTTTTAACTTTTCGCATTGGGTTCGCGATTTCGTTTACCGGTCCGATTTCAGCCCGCCGATCTCGTGTCGATTACATCGTTCATTGACTCGCCCGCCATTCGCCCACGTCACAACTCGTAAGGCCGTCCAATACGCTCGTATTCGGAAATCGATTGTTCGGCGCGATAAATCGCGGAGTTGGGAGATTATATAAATATTGGACGGTTTTTTTTTGTTATTATTATTATCGTTTTTTAATTTTTTATTTTTCGAACTCTGTGTCCTCCATATTATACGCTCAAGCGAACTACCGACTGACACGGTGTTGTGCATTTTTTAAAATTATTTATTATTATTGTTGCTGTTGATTGTGTGCGCACAATATACGCTCAAACCAATGATGATTGAACCGTGTTCGACTTTTTTTTCTATTTTTTATACCCACCGAACAGAGATGGGTTATTTATTGGTGGTTCTACGCCAAGTATTGCTTTAAATTCTTGGACCGAAAATTATTTTTCAATCATATTGTTATTTGTTTAATAGTTGTTCGCGTTTACTTTCAATCGTGAACAATTCACGTTAAGAAACTAATTTTTTGGCACATTCCATTATGACGCAGAAACTTGTCCGAATAACTGTTCCCGAGTTTAATCGTTATTATTAGGGCCGACATTATTATTTGCATTTGCATATGTTTAAGTTAATTTAACTTTAATAGCTATTTAATACCGAAATGTGTTTCACGGCCTAACAAGACGATATACAAAATTTTATTTTGCATATTTTTGTATTTGTAGGGCATATCTAATTTTTGAATTATGTCCGTTTTAGAGCATATTTCAAGGATTTAGTATATTTTGAGAACATAATATATAGGATTTAACACATTTTTAAGCAATTTTTTTAACTCGACGAATCAAGAATCACAAAATAAGTTTCCCTCAAATAAGTTGTTATTGATTATTCGATTTATTAATTTAAAGATTAGAATGTTTTGACAATATATGTATTTTGTTGGGTCTATGTAAGTCTTTAATTTTATTTGAGTCATCAGTAATGATTTATAACTCGTAAAGTCAAAGTGATTTTTTTTTTTTTTTTATGAACATTAAGACATACTTGGTTAATTTGTATAGTATAACTGCATAAATATTTTTTTTTAAGGTTTTTGGAGCATATTTCCATAGACCCTGGTCATTATCAACAGCATTATATCATATCTATAATTATAAAAGGAACGTTCCTGTATCAATGAAATGAGGAAAGAGAAATAATTCTTAATTTTTCTCCAATTCAACAACTGATGTTCATGATCAATGTTAAATTAGTAAAATTTAGAATAAAAACTTAATTTTTATTACAAGGTAATAAACAATTATATTTATTTAACCAAGTATGTAAATGCCCAGAGGGCAATAAGAGAACAATAATTAGTATAAATAGTTAAATTACAGTGATAAGAGATCAGGTTGAATATAATTGAGACGCAACATCCTATGGAGAGGTTGGTTGTGGCTATAAAACATGAGGTGTGCCGGAGAAAAAAGAGTGATGATTGGAGTGTGAGGGAATGCGGAAAGACATTTTCTAGTCAAGAGCATCGAGAGTACCATTAAAAAGAGAGGAGACGAAAATAAGGTCAGCATTGATTTAAGAATAGAGTAGGGAGACCAAGCATGAACAGATGCAGTCGTAGTCATGCGGTGGGTGTGTCAATCTTCAGTTGATGGGCTGCAAACGAAAGAAAACAGTTCTAGACCCGTTAGATGCGCAGCTGGTCACACTCCAGTTAGAAGTGCAAAAGATCGTACTCCAAGGTTGACCGTACCAGACAGAAATATAAAGCACAAAGACAGGAGACGGAGGAGAAAAAAGAATTGCACTTTATGAAACCAAGGATCTGTAGAACACGCCCAAAAGTAACATCCATATGGTGTCAGGAGATAAATGAAAACCATTATCTTTGATCTCATCAACACAAGTAAGCGAGGAATAGCCCAGTCAATATGGATGAAGAATAGAAGAATATTTCCTGGAAAAGGTGTGGCATTTGTTGAGATTTAAGTCCAGGTTAACGAGTTTGGGACATACAAGAAAGGCATCGAGATCAGCTTGCAAGAGAAGGCAACCAGAGAGGGAATCAAAAATATATATTATGATTATTAAAAAAATTCAAGTCATTTAAATATATTCAATTGAAAATATTAGTATATACAAAAACAGTCACATTACAAACAATAAAAATAATGTTCTACACTGTATTAACATTTTTTTAAATTTTTCACCGATTTGTGTGTATATATATATATATATGTATATAATTTATTTTAACAATATTACAATTAAAAGAAAAATGGGGCAGGGAGGAATAACATTGTGGAAAACAACAAAACATCTGTTCAGCAGTGTATAATAATAACTTATGGTCAGGTAATATTATGTAAATTTATCACGGAGTGAAAATACCTCATCAATCGCTATCCGATGCGACAGTGTTTATTTTTCGTCTTTTTTTTGTTTGTCTTGGTTTTATTACTTCTTCTTCCTAAAAGAATACAAAAAACACAATATTAATTTATATAAATTTAAACACAGTATAGAAACAATATTATACTACATACTTCGCTGGACTCTTCAGAGCTTTCTGACAGGTCTTTTATCACAGACTTTGCATTTCTTTTATTACTATTGCTAAATGTAGGCGCTGCTTTACGGCCACGGCCTTTGCCAACAGTTGAATTTTTGTTAGTGGTCGGCGCATGGGGTTCATCTTCTTCGAGTAACTGGAACAGATTGCTGAATAACATACGCTGTGTATCCGTGCATGCAGCCTGTGCAATTTGTAATGCTTTTTGCATGCCTTCTGCACGGAACATTACTGGACAGGTACCTCGACTACGAATACGTTCCATGTGACCAAGAATTCGCTCAGCGCTAGGCGGTGCGACTCCTCCTCTTGAACCTAAACCCTGTCCTGAAATAATAATACATTTTAAAATAAAAGCTCACAAGCATTTAATCATTTTTAAGAAGGGGTAATAATATTTGGTATAAAAAGTACCTTGTCCTCGTTTCCTTTTGGTTGGAGACACTACTGGGCATCTACTGATTAACAGCTGAGAAACTAGATTGGCTACACTGTCTCCATGTTCTAAATACCAACTAGATATCACAGATATGACAAATTGGTCGTTTAAGGGTTTAATTTCTCTACACAGAATAGGCTTTAATAGTTCTAATGTGGGCCTAAACAAATATTAAATTGCAATTATAAATAAATAATTACCATTAATATTATGCATACATAATTTATAATGTATATATATATATATTACTTACTTTTCTTTTTTTAACATGAGCAAAATATTAGTCAGGGTTTCAGAATGACTGTTATAATCTAATTTGGTGATATTTGATAATATCACTTTAATATCAACATCATGCGCCGACACTAATTGCCAAAAAAAATATTGCTCTATTGTTTCCCAATTTAATGAACTCGTGGCTAGCGATGGTACTGCATCAGATCGAAACATGTTCAGCTTTCCTAAAAATTATAATAATAAGAATAATAATTTCTACACATAGTCAATATTTTGAATAAAATCATTGTCACCTTGTACAATTGAACAGATTATTTCTTGTATTTGTGAACCGTCAATAGCGGATACAACTAAATGTAAGAAATCTTCATTTCCTACGACAATCTTGGGAAACTGATTATAGACATTTGGGATTAGCCAACAGAACATAGATGTATCATCTTCTTGACATAGCTGAAGATCGCTCAATAGACAGTCATTTAATTCGATTTCTTGAGTCTCACAAAATTCTTTGTATATATAGGATTTAATACCACTTGAAAAAAAAATAGTATTAATATAAGTACTGTAATTGACGTGTCGCTTAGTTATTTTATTTACTTATTCATTTTTCTATCGGCATTGTTGTTTATTACATTATTCACTTGCAAAAAATACAGTAACAAATAGCCAATTCGTGTTTGATGTGTTCTCATTTCAGCCAATAAAGACAAAAGTTGTAGCCGACGTGAATCATCTTCAGTAAATTGAGTAAGACTACGGAACATGACAAAAAGTGGTTTTCCGATGCTATCTTCAAATGCACTAAACAGTTTATTTGTTAAAATATTAATAATTAATATTCTATTAGAACTCGTGTTCTAAATTTTTGATAAAATATAAATAGGTAACTTTAATAATAAAAATAAATAATAATCTCTAAATACTAAATAGCAAATAGCCTTACTCGTCGTTAAGTACTGCGGGGAAAATCTTTTCTTCAATTTGATTTTTCAATAAACATGCGAGACATGAGCCTAAAGCGGCTATCATATCAGGATACATCTCATCATCCTGTACAATTAACTGGACTATTTTCTCCATTGACTCACACTTTCTTTCATTGTCTTTTTTAAAATAAAGAGTTTCAGTCTCCAGTCTCAATTCATGGTTTAGAGTTTCTAAAGCTTCTATGTCTAAATCTTCTGGCAGCAAATTTCTTTCTTTTAGTTTCACTTTTGCTGAAATTATTTAAAATAATTAATAATATATTTAAAATTAGTAAACTATTTTAATACACTTGTAACTATACCAATATCAAATTTTGATTTATAAATTAAATTTTATGTAAGATGAACAATTTGAAATTATATTTAAAATGCATACCCATATCATGAGCTATTAGAAGCAGAGCTCCATCACTAGTGTCTAATTTTACCAACTAATTATGTTTTATAGAAAAATGTTTGTAAAACAATGAATAAATAAATATTTTTATAATATAATACTATAATATACTACAAGTATACAATTTCAAAAAAGTGTAATAACACAACTATTTTTAGTAACATAAGTATAATAATATATTCTGTTTGAGAATCTAAATTAGTAATTATAGGTTGTAATTTGAAAATCAATTGGTAAAAAAAAAATAAGGCTAGAAATAAGGAATAAAAAGAATACAAATCTAATTAAGTACACAAAAATCACATGTTCCCTGAACCACCATATTGTATGCTATCAAAAAATAACTTTGATTACACCGGTATAAATTTCCCACTAAAAAGAATATTGATAGTAAATAAAGAAATTACTTTGTAATACCTGTTCAAATTGTTTGGTATACATTTTTTTAACATAGATCAAATATTTTGTATCGGTATAATTCCCTCCTGATTAATAATAATAATAATTTCCCATCACAATCATTCCCTCGTTTCGTATCTTAATTACATTATATTATTATGATAACTTGTATGATTGAATTATTTTTATTATAAATCTTCAAATTTATTTCTATTTGCGAGTACAGATTTCAGTTTTAATTAATCAATTTACTTTTTGAAAAAGAAAAATAGTTGATGTTTTGTACTAACAAATAAACAAATTTCCTAATATACCGATACAAAATAAGATACTAGTATTATTATAGCAGTATATCGGTATAATCAAACAAATGTCTAGTTACATATTGAACTAGCACATAATTCTGTTATATAAATACCTAATCATTAATTTTTCATAAAAATAATAAATGTCTTCATGTATCATATATTACTAGATATATTTAGTTTAATCATTTTTTCAGAGTATACAAGATGAGGGTCCATTCAATCATGGATAAACTGGGTTGACCATTCTTTTTATTTTATATGATCTCTACTATGGGTGCGTTCGCTTTAGACTTTAAGATGCATTCAGCGCTCTCACTCACTTTAATGTTTACAAATTGTTTAGTTTAAACACAAGCACTTTTAAATGGGCCTAAAGACAAATTTTAAATGAGCATTGATAGTATAAGCATCAATATGTGTCATTGATTGGACTAAAAGTTATCTATTATCATTTTAACATTTGAGCGTTTGCTGCACTACCTTGATGGATTAAGTGTTTGTGAGTATGAAACGATGATGTTGCACAGACATTCCATGACATTATGTTTGTAGTCTGAGCACTTAAATCTGCCAAACCGAACAGCATGGCAATACTGATAAGCGCTTAAAACTTGCTTAAAGCGTGACACGAACGCACCCTATACATACTATAAGTTGAAGACAACTAAATAATGTTTCAACATTTTAAAGATCCGTATAAGTATTTCATATTAATTTAATAATTGACGTACCAGATGCTGGTTTTACAATGGGTATGCTGTTTTCAAGGTTAACTATTTTCTTTGGACTTGTTTCAGTTTCTTCATCACTAAATGAGATGTCATCAGTCTCTGCTACTAACTCCTCTTTGAGCGATAAAAGCATATTATCCATTAAGTCATCATTTTTAATAGAATCACCTAAAATTAAATACATTATAAAGAAAAAAAAAAAACTATTTTTGAAGAAAAATAATTGTTAAAAATATAATTAAGATACCTCCTTGAATTGCTGGAGGATCACAAAATTCTCGAAAAGTATTTTGTATTATGGTTCTGAGTTCACTATCAATTCGAGGATTTGTAAACAAAGGAACTAATGATGCTAACACTCTCTTGTCAAGAATCTGTTGCAATGAAACAAAAATACCAGTGCGTATCCTCTCGGTTTGAGCTGGATAAAAATTAGTAATAATCTGAAATGAAAAAAATTCTGATTCACAACAAAAAATATTGATGTTTTAAGTGACATGAGTCGTGCTAATCATGATATGCCATAGATTATGTAATTTAATGAGATTTATAAAAAGAAATAACAAGTATAATTACTCGGCATAAAAAGTCCAGTAAGCTTGCTGTTACTGTGGGATGAATACGTAAAGAGTTGAGCATCACTAAAATCGCTGGTTCTGTTGACAAGCAAAAAAAATGTTATTAAAATAAAATATAACTAAAAATTGTTTACATGTATTTATAATTATTTAAAAATATAATTAAGTTTAATCATTGATAAAATGTTTATTAATTTTAAAGAACTTAAATTGTATACACTTTGTTAACATTCAAATTTTTCCTAATTAAAATTGATATTTATGTGGTTAAAATAAAAGTTACTCAGATAGGTTTAAGTTCAAAACAAGTTTGTGATTACTTACCAATATTCATAATGTTATCATGTTTTGGATCGTAACAAATCCAATCATAAAATAAAGCCATTTTGGCATTCGCTAAAGCTATATTTGATGTGCACGTGGTAATAAGCCAACCAATAACAGCCCAACGAGGTATAATATCTGAACATAACAGTTCATTGGTAGGATGTATTAGTCCAACAATAAACCTTATCAAATCACTTCTCAGGGATTGTGCTTCAGGCGTATTTAAATACTTTAAATTAAAACAATAATATTAACATTGATTATAATAAAAAGAAAATGATAAAATATTTTAACTTTACTTTATTTTGGAACCATTCTTGATAGCGTTTGTGATGACCAAATCGAACTGAAGAAGTAAAGAATACTAATTTACGTTCCATATCGGGTGTTAATCGCGATTGCAAAAATCTTCTAGATGTTCTAGTCTCCAATATTTGTATAACACCTAGGAATATATAAGATTTAACTTTAAATATTTTTAATATGAATTTGGATTGACTATTGAACTATCATGATTACCATTTGTTAAACTTGGACTTAATGATTGAGGATTATGTAATAAGTCTTTCCATAGTGTTTCAACTTCTGGTATACGTGAAACATTTTGTAATAACCTAATTAGATCTCTACCGATCACCAAACAATCAGTAAATCTATCACGAAGTAAAGATATGGTGAATGCCACTTCTCGATTACGCAAAGGGATTAAACTAGTGTGATCTTCAATGAAACGTAAAAATGAATAAACAACAGACGCTATCAACCAAGGATATCTTTCTAACCATTTTCTAAAAACGATAATGCAATTTTATGAGAAAAATAGCAAAACTAATAAAATAATACATTTACAATATAAAACATACCTATTGTCTTGGTAAAGATCAAGGAGATATTCAATGAGGGCAATATTAGTGGAAGAAATGTCGCCACCTGCTGCATTTCGCATAAGGTTCCAACAAAGGTTATCCACACCTGCAATGTTGTTGTGTACCATTTCTCGAATTAGCCATAACAACTGTTTGCGAGATCCATCCAATAGTCGACTCCATTTTTCTAACGTAAATTGTTGTAAGTGAGCTATAACACTCTGTAGGCCATCACGTGATAACAAAGTTAAATCTCTATATGTCTGTTAAAAAAAAAAAATAAATAAATAAATATAGAATTTTGAAGATAAAATTATTAATATTATTAATAAAACTTTCATAAAACAGAAAGACTATATAATATTAAACTCATTTTACAGGTTTTAGGTATTACTAAGAAACAGTGGCACAACCAGAATATTTTAAAAAAATTTGTTTACACATAGCCAATTGAACTAAAGGAAAATTTGGTAGATGTATAAGTACAATAAATGTATACAGCCCGGGGACCCCACCTGGTTGCGACACTGCTAAAAATATCTATTTTAAAGTAGGCAGTAGAGAATATTAAAACCTAAGTTTTTATTCCAAAAAGAAGATGCTCAGAAAAACCTAAAAACTGCTTCTAGGTAAAAAATTGAAATTAATAAAACATAAAAATACAGTGGGTATAACACTAACGGAAATCAGTTTACAAATGTTTGATAATCATGCAAATCTTCCGTAATTTCGCAGGAAATCTTGGTAATCATTGGGAATAGATTCAAGAATCTGGTGTGCGCGATATCAATCAGTGATTCAACCTCCGTAAAAATATGTCACTTTGTATGAATTCAAGTACCAATGTATGGACTTTTATTATTGCACAATTTTACAATGCATAGGGAATTCTACGCACGGGACACATGTACGTACATTTCATAAATATTCAATTCACCAACGAGTGACGGAGACGTGGAAATGAAGAAAAAAAGAAATGATTGACCCGGTCTTGTTAATGAAATAATAACATGGTGTTAAGGTGGTTTTGTTTAATCATTTTCAATATTGATACCCACTATCAATATTAAACTGCCTATCAAGTGTTAAAAGCAAAAAGTGGAAATCCAAAGGGATTTCTCGTTGGAAAGACAAGAACTCATCAATACTGCGTATCGATTGTCGTGCGACTAGGAACCGGTGTACGGGTACAATATTGATGATACGACACGGTAATAGAATTGTAAATGAACGAGGCGCATAATACCACGGGAATGAATTATACAATACGCCCTGAAAAACAAACGGAACACGACCCCGTTGTGTGCAAACGGCAATCGTCGTCGGAGTTCCCGGGTGGGTCGCGTAAACGCACGTACTTTTTCCGCGTTCTTGGCGTCTAGCAGGACGGCGGTCAGCAGCCCCAAGCTGACGACTTCCTCTTGGCTCTTGTCCTTGCTGATGTGGCTGGTGAGGGCGTCGTGGTATTCGCGATCGTTGAGACCGGCCGTGAGGCTCTGAAGCGTTTGATAACACCGTTCGTATTTCTAAAGGGATAAAACACAAAATGAACAACGGCCGGGACGTATATCGGTCGGGACACTGCGACGGCTACGGCTACGACGGCGACGACGACGACGACGACGACTACGACAACGGTCGACGCACGCGACGGCTCGCGCACACAACGTATAATACGACGACGACGTGCGGGTCATAACATGAGTACACACACGGCACGGCATTATGGTATAAGTACGAAAGTGCGAGAGGTTACGGGCGCGAGAGAGCGAATTGTCGTCGAAGTTGAAGTCCGCAGCCGTTGTCGCTGTAGCAGCGGCAGCGGCAAGCAGCTGCATCCCCGTGCGGACGGCGCTTACCTCTTCGATCTCGTCCTTGCGCTCTATCGCGGAGTACGTGAACAGTTTCACCTGGTTCTGCTGCTGGGCGGCCATGGTCTCGCGGTGCCGTTACCATCAAAAACGAAAACAATAAACAACAGCGCACCGCCGCGCACCGATATGACGACCGGGTCACGTATCGTCTACGCGCACGGGCACCAGAATGTTACGGTCGTCGGCGGCCAGACCCATGACCCGGCAGGCGGCGTCCGACGGGACGGAGACGACGGCGACCGCGGTCCTCGCGCGAACACGTTGTCCAGGCGGCGGCGGCGGCGGGCCAGCTGACGGCGACGGCAATAATTTCGCGACAACAACAATCGGAGCCAAGGACGAGGCCGCGGACGATATTGTTGTGGCCCAGCGGCGAAAAAACTCGTGAAAACCGTTTTATTCGCCCGTTCGTATTGGGTATTTATTTATTTTTCTATCCCCGTATTATTATTATTATTATTATTATTATTTGAAATACGATAAGGCCGCGCGCGCACCGGACGGGACCCCGTCACGCGTGTTTGTGCGTGCGTGCGTGCGTGCGCGATAATAAAGAGAACAACAACAATAAATGGGTATTACAGTATTTTACGCACAGTCGCGAAACGTAAGGGCGCCGCGCGAAAAGACCGCGGGCTGATTCGGCGTCCCAGAAAGCGATAGGGAGCGATGGAAAAAAAAAAAATAAAATATTATTATTATTTACGTATAGGAAACAAACGTGTGCGCGAGTGCCACACCGCGTGTGGGACAACAATAATAATAATAATAATAATAATATACGTATATATATATATATATATATATATATGCGTATATATACAGTGTGATAAAAAACGAAAATACGAAAAAAAAAAAAAAAAAACCACGCAAACGGCGGCCACCGGGAGAGCGAGCGAGAGAAACAGAGAGTGGCGCGTGTGATAGCGTGCGTTGCGTCGGTACGCGCGCGCGCACGCGAGTTCGCCCGTTACTGCGGAGAGAGGCGCGGAGAGAGGCGCGGAGCGACGGTGCCGCGGAGCTGGCGTCGGGAAAAAGGAACCGTCGGGCGTACGGTCTCGTTAGCGAGTGAGCTGCGGCGGCGGCCGAACCCACGACGTACTACGGAGCTGCTGCCGAAACGGACGGACAATGAGTTCGTCGCCGTCGTCGCCGCCGCCGCCGCCGCCGGTAGGGCCGTTTATACACGTATGTACGTGTGTGCGCGCGCGTGTGTGTGCGTGTGTGTGTGTATACAATATACGTATAGTACGTTTTATACCGTATATACGTATATACGTATTATACGTGCGGCGGCGATGACGCAGTGGCGGCGCGACGCACCGCACCGATATCCGCGCCGCGTTATTATCTCGGCGAGCGGACATAATTGGTTTTTTTTTTTTATTTTCTTCTCTGTTTTTCGTCTAATTTAATTTTAAATCACTCGACTTCGATTTTTTTTATTTTTTTTTTTTTTTTACCCGCTCGCGGGTTTTCAGAGCGTTACCTTCCCGGCCCCGCGCACGGATATCAAACGATAGGGTTACGCGGTCGGGGGAACCGTTTGCGACGTTGCAGATTGCGAAATCCTAAAAGGCCATGGTAGAAAACGGGAACAAAAACGAACAATGAAAGAAAAAAAAATAACGAGATTTATACAAAACGTTTTCGGGCGTAGGGTGGAGGGGTGCGTCGGATTTTTATAAATAATTCGAATACATTGGGTTGTCGGGTTTTTCCCCCCGACGAAACCTCACACAACCGCGGCGGCGTTCAATGCAACAATCGTTGTCGTCGACGTTTAATTATGTCGTAATAAATTATAATATTATTATTAATTAACCACAAATAATAATAATATACGTATTAATATTGCTATTATCATTATTGAAATAATTATTACGGCGGCCGCACGCTACGCTGCCGCCGTCGTTTTTTGGAACGGAACACGGGTTTCGGGGCCGCGGGTCGGCGGAGGGTCGGGGTGGCGGAGGGAACGGGACGCGGGTGGCTCGCTCTGCCGCGCGACCGATTGACTCTATTACGGCGACGGCGTCGACGCCTAGCCCCCTTCCTCTTTGCCGCCCCTCTCACCCCCCCCCTCAACGTACGACGACCTACGAACACCGCCGCCGCCAAACCGGTGTTCGTGTGTGCATTTCGACGTCGGTATCGCCTGTTCGCCTACTCCTCGAACCGCCGTCGGTGGCGGCTCCGTGCTGGTAGTCCGCGTTCGTCGGCGGACCGCGGGACACGTACCGCGCGAGGTCCGTCCGGAACCGCGTGGCGCCCTGCAAAGGTCCCGGGGGTTTAGGGCTTATAGCCCTTCCCGCCCGATTGGCTTTTGAAAAAACCGTCGGCCGAACGTTGACGCGGTAAAATCGCACTGCGCAGCCAAACGATCACGGGTACAACACGTTCGGGCACCGCGGTTTATATAGGTCTCCATAAGCGTGCGCCAGTCCCCTTGGCAGGCGAGACGGCGTTATCATAGGCACGAATAGCCCAAATATTTTCGTATGGGCTCGAGTTACGGTTATATTGATTATTGTATTGTCTGATTCCGTGTGCACTCGGTGTTTAGCTCGATGAGCGCGTTATTTAGGAGTTTGATCGAGTTAAGAAAGACCGCTCCCCGGTTTGTGGCAATGCGCAAAATTATGGGCGTTACGTTAGGATTTCGTGTACAGACAAAAGGAAAAAATGTACAGCCAACGTGGTTTTGAAAAGATTTTGACGAGAAATCTCGCAGGGGAGACAGTCGCCTTTCCTGCTTTCCCCGTGCGCACGCTTATGTATGTGCGAGTATATTATATTGAAAAGGTTTCTGTAAAACAAATATTAATGCGCAATTTCGCTGTCCACGCCCGAATATACGCCGCGCAGTAGACGTACATATAGATTTCGATCAACATTCAGGTAGAAACTGCATTATACAAAAATCAATTATACTGCATTAGAAAAGAGTCTGCACTTAAAACCGAATGCGTAACTGACAACCGGAACGCTTATGGAAATCATGTCTCCATTTCGATTATTTCAATGTATAAAAAACGACGGGAATTCAAAATCAAAGAAATACGATACAATCACATAATGTGCAGACCTAAATGCTATATTTGATTTAACACGAGTATTTATATAGGTACCTACTCGCCGAATATTTTTATAACTGGGTATATTATTATTTTGGATTACTATAATGCAAATTCGATTTGGAATAGATTATTTGTGGATTATGTTTCTGTTTGTATAATATGTGTATGTGTTTACCGGTAAATATACTTCTTAAACAAAGGTAAATACTTGTTTTCGTTTTAATGCCCGGCCGCGCTATGGTTTTAGAGGGATATTGAGTGCCCTCCCCACCCCCACACCCAAACGTTGTGCCGATTTCGAATACGGAACACCGGAACTGGTCGAGGTGCTCGAACCAGGTGCTGCGCCGATTATCGCACGCAAGGTGTAACGCGAATCTGGGTTTGGACTGTTGGACGTAATCGGAACGACGTACTGCGGATATATTATTCGCGTACCGTCATTAGCTTATATCGGTCTGAACGGATATAGTCGCCCCACACACCGCAGCGGCTGGGCCAGTACTTCTAACACCCCCGCGGTCAAACATTCTGGTACTGTTACCGTGACGAAGCAGTACGCTTTTTCGCCGAGGCCGTCGGCTCGTATCGAAAATCGATGGGCGGCCGTGCCGTCGAATGTCTTGAACGTCGAACCAGCTCAGAGATCAGAAACGCATTTATGGCCGTGCGCACCACATCGTCAACGGAACAATTATACGAATATGATTGCTTATTAATATAAACTGTGTGGTATTATGCATCATGTATTAACTATTACGTAGTCATTGCAGCTGAATGTGCGGTTTTCGCCGCGAACGAATTATTATTTATAGGACATGGCGGTACACGAATCCATGATTTGGGTCTTGATTTGTTGTTTGTTTCGCCTTAGGTATGAAAACACGTTCGGCATGCCGCCGTTCTGAGTCGCCCGCGGATCGGGGACTATTGGACCCAAGTGCGCAATCCGAGTTGGAGCCCGATTTATACAAAATTGGAGCGAAAAAACAAGATTATTGCCCGTTTTCAAACACCTTTGGTCCGTCCGCCCATATTGCTCAATGACTAAAAAAAAAGGCGTGCATCTGTTTTGTATTCACCTGTCCGTACACGCAAAAACAATGCCTCGGGGCCTCTAAATTGTAATTAAAATTATATCTTTATTTACGGAAACAATACTTTACACTTCCATAAAAATAAATTAACAGAGTACAAAACAAACAAGTATAATAATACAGTAAAGTTTAGAATATAAAATATTACGAACGATAATTAATAAATACACAGGAATACAGGCCAATGACGAATGTTACGGGCCCGTGGCTCGTTTCCCGTCATACCACCCCGTCTGTACGCCACCGAGATGACCGTTGTTGTCCGGTAATTTATTTATTTTTAAAGGGTACTTCTTTGCCCGCGATAACCAAATTAATGAATAATAATTGTTTTTTTTTTTCATTCGTGTCGCCAAAGTAACCCATAAACTAACAAAAAAAATTCGATTATCGTTTCGAAATTACCAAAAATAAAAAAAAAACCGTATCAGCCGACCTTTAGGGACCGAATTCCGGGGTCGAAAAATAGTCCCTCGTGTATTAATCCAGACCGCGTTCTATCCGTGTGTCGAATTTGATCCAAATCCGTTCGGCCGTTTCAAACATACAGACTTTCGTATTTTTAATACTATAATTATTATAGTACAGTAGGACTACACTGATTGATATTGAAAATTCCTTGTCGAATCAGTGGACTACTGGGCTATATAATAACTAAAAACGTTCCGGGGAAGGTGGCGATAATTTTTTTTCTCCCCTTAATCACACGTTGATTTGCCTCCGTATAATAAATTTACCGACATTTCGTTAGAAATTCTAAAAAAAGTTCCCCCGTTTTTTAAACGATTTCCTCGATCTGTCGAATACCACCCGTACAACAATTGAAGTCTACAGAAAAAAAATACCAAAAATGACCCCGTTTTGTTTAAACTAAGAAAAAAGTGTTGTTTCAAAACTTAACAATTTTTTTTTTTTTTTATAAATTTTTACAACTTACATTTTGATTAAGTTTAATGTTATACTTTGAGATGTAGTAACCATAACATAATAATGTCATATTACATTATTAACCACGGCTGTTGTTACCCAACCACTTATCTGGTTATCAATTTATTGAATATACCTGTTTTTTTTTCCTGTAGGCCTAAACTTCTGGCATTCATTACTTTTGACTATTCTGGTTTTTTTCGCAGTTTCTATCGCATAAAAAATACGGCACATCAGTACAAATTATTTGATACCGATATCGCCATATTGGAAAAAAAGTGACTTTTCCGGTTTTTTCCCTTCAATTAATTATATGAAATGTTGGTTGACCTCGAGTTGGGTCCAAACGGCATGAATTGTGTCCCGGCATATTTATTTTATTATTATTTATATTGAAAACATTAGTCTAGGCTATAAAAGTTACCCAGGAGACACCACGTGAAGGTTGGCTAGAAAGTCTTCCAAAATTGTTGATGTTTTTGTAACTTTACTTTTAAACAATTTGTATAGTTTTATAATATTAAAATGATTACTATTATTATTAATATACAATTGAAAAATATTAAAATTACTGTTATTATTAAATATTATTTTGGTATTAAAATACGTAAATCATATTTAATATAATATTATTACCGCCGACCAAACCCGAGCACTATCAAATTGTTACCCAACTCGAGTTTTCCCGAAATGTTCGTCAAATAAAAATTAATATTTTCGCGAAAACGGCAAGGTAAACAACCTGCGCGCGGTATCCGTATTATGTTGTCGAAAGCTACCCCTAACTTAGGGTAATCATATTTAAAAAAAAAAAACAGAACACTTTTTTGCAATAAGTAAAAAAAAAAAAACATTGATTGCCAAATCAAGAAATAATATATAATATATTAATGTACAATACATTTATATATATATATAGGTATGAAGATACCTATATAATATATTATAACAACAAAATGTATAATATTATTATAGACCATAGTACATCAAAATATAGAATGCTACGAAATTGTGTGTCGTAACACAATGCGTAATACCTACGCATCTTTTAAATGGTAAAATCTCATGGATAAAAATATCTAAAGCAGATTATTTATGTACGATGTTTTTATCAATTAATCGTTAAAATCACTTTTTGATGAAAAATATTTATAAACAGGATAGTCACGGAAAACAAGACTAAATGTGTTTTGAAGTTGAAAAATAGGACGTATGGTGGTCACCCTATCCTAACCCCTCTCTGTGTGCTCCACTGGTTTCAATGTCGAAATAAATAATACTCAAAGTTATTATAAATTTATAGGTAGGTAATATAATATTGAAAATAAAGATTATAAGAATAAAGACGAACAAGAGTTCACATATTAAAATATTGGGAACGTAGATTATATTAAGTGGGTATAGCGTAGTAGGCAGGAAGAATAGGCGCACACGAATTGCCTCCCAACCTCACCTTCGAATCGCCTCCCGTGAATTTTTTTTTTAAAAAGGTTACTCGAATTGCCTCCCGATTTCAAAAATATGATTCACTCGAATTGCCTCCTATTTTAGGTAGTGACTTTCTTGTATCGGAATCAATTTCTACTTCGATTTATTTTGAAGCTAAAAACAATTATAGGTATATATAGGTATTAGGTACACGACATTAGTACACATGTCATTAGTAGACATTAATACACTTTATTAGGTAATAAGTCGATGTCGAAAAAGCAAATAGGTATTTAGGTTTCCCTTAAAAATAAACAAATATTTTTCTTTTTTTCCTTCCCTTTCCCTATAGTCAACAATTTTTTTTTATTAAATTTTTTTTTTTAAAAAAAAATAAATAAAAAAAAAATTAAAAAAAAAATATAATAAGAAAAAATGCAAATGCAAAAAAAAAAATAATATGATTACGAAATATGAAAAAATATGAATACGTGTTGTATCAAAATTTCACGTATTAAAAATCAATAAAAAAAAATTAATAATTAGATAGTCAACTAATCTACTGATAACCAGTTATCAATACGATTATTGCGTTCGACAAATTAATCTGTCTGGGAAATACTGTACGTATATTGTATACATTATTATAAATAGTAAAAATAATATTTTTGAACATTACGGAAATCAATATAATAATCGATAGTACACGTCAACTATCGATATATTAATTAATATCTTGGTATGCTATGGGAGGTTATTCGAGTGGACCATTTGAATGTACTCGAATCGCCTCCGAAAACATCCGGAGGCGATTCGAGAGCACCCGGAAAAATGTTAATTTTTGACGAGTCGACAAATTATAAATACAATCGTAATCTAAAGGATAGGTCCATCGGAACACCGGGATTATTCCGGTAGGCCGCTACTTATATTGGCGAAAATGGGCCGACGAAAAATACTGCTAGTGTACAATATTGTATTGTATTGTATAATACTCGTCAACACGAATACTCAAGCGTACAAAAAGATACAGACATGTTTCACACGATGGATGGACCACTGTTGTAGGTGAAAAGTTTGTAAAGTAGAGGGAAAATTTAACATATATCTGTACGCAACACGATTAACCATTGATAACGAAAAACGATTCTGAGCAGAGTTCGGTTAATAGTGTTGCTTTGTCAACGATGTATGTGCCATATTATGGACAAATAATTGCATATACATAATATGCATTATATAATATTTTCTTTAAAAATTAATATTGTACATATTTCCGTTTTTCCCGTGTATTATGAAAACATCAGGGTAAATCAAAAAATGGCACCCTTAAAGTACCAATTCAGTCAGATTTCCAAACGATAAAAGTGCTATGCTTGAAAATCGGGACAAAATTGCTAGTAAAACAGTTGTTAACAGATTAAAAAAATAATCACCATTATAAAAACAATATCGTATTGAATTCAGTTTATATCGTAATTTAATAGTTATAAATTATCATTGAATCCTCGGTACACCTTATTTACAAGCAGTGTCGCCTGACGGCGTTATCAACTGACCGGCTGACCGTCAACACTATAATATTTATAATGGAATTTGAATGATATTTTTCAGTTTGACTCACAGTTACTATCATCGACTAAAATATAAAATAAAAGCGCCTACACGTACTCAGTTATCGAACACAGACGGTGCATTTTTTTTTTTTAAACTATTCACTATATTCTATTTTCCGTTGTCACTTGTTATATATACGACGACATTCGTAGTGTTGCGCAACAATCTATTTGGATTTTTCATAGAAGATTCTGGAGTTTAGGCAAGTACATTTTCATATTATAGTTTATACCTATTTAAATAACTATAGCTTTTACTATTATTAGTACATGTATAATTGTTATTTGATACTCAGTGTCTTAGTTAAAACGTGCGAATACTTTACCCCCAGTACCGGGGGTTTTCCGTATTTGAATCTTCAGCCCAAATTGCTTATTTTTATAGAATGTATAATAATCTAACACCAAAAGTGGCATGGACAAATCACACATCGCAACTAGTTTGGGCTACAGTTATTGATAAATACTTTCAAAGTACCTATGATTTTAATGTATTATAAAAAATTTGTTAAAAATTGAATCGAATCATTGAAGCATATACACGTAGTATAAACAGTATGGGCATATTAATATTTGAGGAATGGAACGAAGAAATTGAGGGAGGAATGTATTAGTTTTACAATGATTTTTTTTTTTTTTAATCTGTGAACAACTTTTCTACCAAAACTCTTGCTCCGATTCACAAGGTGTAGTCACTTTTTCTGAAAGGAAATCCGATTAGGGTGGTACTTTTGGGAAGTCATTTTTTGATTTTCTCCACAATTTGGAAAAACGGTAAAATATGTACAATATTAAACAAATACTATTAAAACAAAAATATAACGCATATTTAATTATTTTACCATAATATGACATATAGTATATTGTATATTGTTGACAAAGCAACACTATCAACCGACCTCCGTTCAAAATAGTTTTTCGTTAGCAATGGTTAATAGTTGCTTACATATATATATTAAATTACCTATAATAGTGACTGCACCCATCCCCATTATCTTAGAACAGCTTTTTTCACAACTAAACGAAATTAATTTCGTGGGCTCTGTGTCAAATTAAATTAAAATATAAATTATTACAGCTTTTTTAAAAAACTCCTGAACAAGAACAATTATTGAAATGTTCAACGAAAAATGTAAAGAAATTAAAAAATTTAATTAAAAAACATTTTTATATTCTTCAATTATACAATTTGCGATTGTAGTAGTATTTCTCATATTTCATTACCTATCTTTTCACCACATAAACTCGGTAAGTATTAGCGTATTGATACGGTGACTCAGGTACGGATCTAGAATAAAGATCTTGGGGGGGAAGCTAACAAATTTTTTACAACACAAATACAATTACAATATAATATAATACATAAAGTATATTATTTTCTCATACATATCAGTGATTAGAGTATAGTAATATCAGAATCTATAGAATTATAAAAAAAAAATCTGAGAAATATTAGGTTGGGGGGCGTCCTTGGATCCGTCCTTGAAGTGACTACAGCCTATACAGGGATTTTCGTATCTGAGATTTTGCTTAACGGGCCAGTCTTCTGATCTGTCATTTCTTAAAGGTGATAACCCGAATTATTTTGAACGATCGATAAATCGGTGTCTAACACCGATTTTTTTTTTAGATATTAATGATGGTTTTTGCCCACGCCACTAGTCGAAAGTTCACACAATATATAATTCCCTCTTCTATCTCGCAGTATAATATCGTAAACTATATAATTTTACATTATGCTAATATAAACGAGAATATAATATTAGTCTAATACGAGTCAGACTATCGTCGTCGTCGAGCGCAAGAAACCCACTCGGTGATGCAATCAACAAAAGTTCGAAAAAATTATTACGTTTTCTGTATTGTACGCAATCGATTTTCATCGAACAATAGCGGGTGTGCGGTTTAAATGCTGCTGCACACGACTGTCGCAACGGTCGATTCGAAGTATGTATGTATTATAATAATATTACATACCCATTAGGAAAGCGTATACGGCTGCGGGAACGATATTATTGTGTCTCCTATACATATAATATTTACATATTGATATTATTATTATGATATCATAATAATCATAATTTATAGGTTGAGATTGGACTGATAAAAAAAAAAAAATAAACTCCAAATGAAAATTAATTTTAACAATTATAATAAGTATTGCGGCGTATTATAGGTACGTTAATATTTAACACTAACATCGGATTTATTGTTTACGAGTTATAACCGTTTAAAGGGTTGACCGGAGGATTAGGGAAGAGTTATGAAATTATTAATTTAAAAAAAAGACACGGACATACTTCACACGATGATTGGGCCTCTGTTTTTGGTGAGAAATTGGGTAGGTAAGATACATAAAGTTATAGCTGTAAACAACAATAAACCATTGCTAACGAAATACGAGGTTAATAAAAAAAGCCTCTTGTCATTTTTCAATAGGAGCAAGATTTCTAGTATAAAAGTTATACAGGAAACATAAAAAAAAAAACCAATGGAATAAAAAAAAAAG